ATAGAATAGAGAGTCCAGATATAAACCCACATATATATGGCCAATTAATATATGCTAAAGGAGCCATGGACATACAATGGGGAAATGACAGCCTCTTCAACAGCTGGTGTTGGCAAAACTGGACAGCTACATGTAAGAGAATGAAACTGGATTACTGTCTAACCCCATACACAAAAGTAAACATGAAATGGATCAAAGACCTGAATGTAAGTCATGAAACCATAAAACTCTTAGAAGAAAACATAGGCAAAATTCTCTTGAATATAATCATGAGCAACTTTTTCATGAACATATCTCCTTGAGCAAGGGCAACAAAAGCAAAAATGAATAAGTGGTACTACATCAAACTAAAAATCTTCTGTACAGCAAAGGACACCATCAGTAGAAGAAAAAGGCATCCTACAGTATGGGAGAAAATATTCATAAATGATGTATCTGATAAGGGGGTTGACATCCAAAATATACAAAGAGTTCACATGCCTCAACACCCAAAAAGCAAACAACCTGATTAAAAAATGGGCAGAGGATCTGAACAAGACACTTCTCCAAAGAAGAAATTCAGATGGCCAACAGGCACATGAAAAGATGCTTCACATCGCTAATTATCAGTGAAATACAAATTAAAACCACAATGAGATATCACCTCACACCAGTTAGGATGGCCAACATTCAAAAGACCAAACAACAACAAATGCTGACGAGGATGTGGAGAACGGGGAATTCTCCTACATGGCTGGTGGGAATGTAAATTAGTTCAACCATTGTGGAAAGCAATATGGAGGCTCCTCAAAAAACTAAAAATAGAAATACCATTTGACCAATGAATTCTACTCCTAGGAATTTACCCTAAGAAAACAGGATCACAGATTCAAAAAGACATATGCACTCCTCTGTTTATCGCAGCACTATTTACAATAGTGAAGACATGGAAGCAACCTAAGTGTCCATCAGTAGATGAATGGATAAAGAAGATGTGGTACATATACACAATGGACAATTATTCAGTCATAAGAAGAAAACAAATCCTACCATTTGCAACAACATGGACGGAGCTAGAAGGTATTATGCTCAGTGAAATAAGCCAAGTGGAGAAAGACGAATACCAAATGATTTCACTCATCTTTGGAATATATTGGCAAAGCAAAAACTGATGGAACAAAACAGCAGTAGACTCACAGAACCCACGAATGGAGTAGTGGTTACCAAAGGGAAAGGGGTCAGGGAGCATCGGTGGGAAGGGAGGGATAAGGGGATTAAGGGGCATTATGATTAGCATATATAATATGGGGGGGGCATGGGGGAGGAAGTATAGCACAGAGAAAGTGTTGCTATACAAATAGTGACTCTATAGCATCTTACTATGCTGATGGACAGTGACTGTAATGGGGTATGTGGTGGGGACTTGATAATAGGGGGGAATGTAGTAACCACAATGTTGCTCACGTGAAACCTGAGCATAAGATACCTTAATAAAAAAAAAAAAAGAGCATGTAAGAAAAAAGAAAGAATAAAAATAACCACAAATAATTATTAGAGGCTTGCTCTATACTGGACATAGGGCTTACTCCTTAAATCTGTGATCATATGTAATCCCTAAACTAACCCTGTAGATGCTCTCCATTTTCCCCATTGTACCAATGGGAATACTGAGGCTCAGAGGGATTTATCAATGGGTATGCACTTAGCGTCAGCAGCTTCTTTCACTGCTCATAACCACTAAGCAAAACTACCTCCACCAAAAGTTTATAGTGGTCCTATGTTGTTCAAAGACAAGTGTATCAAGTCAAGTGGCCATATGGCGTGAGATAGAAAGGAATTGGGTCAGAGCCTCCATTCTCTGTGAGCTGCAGCTGAAAGACCAAGACAACACCCAAGATTTAATAGAAGAAATGCAGAGCAGATTTATCCTTGACAGAACCCCACTAGTAGTGGGGAGTATGAGAAAAACCAACTTAAATGAGAATTCAATAAATAGGTATAGAACCAATAACAGCTGCATGGAGCTAAAAAAAAACAGGTGTTGCATAGGAGCAGCCTATAGTGGGAATGAAGGTAGGGAGAATGGCTGCGAGGGAAAGTGGTAAACATCTATAGAGAGCCCAATATGAGCTAGATCTTGTCCCATGCCTTCACACAGGTCATTTCATTCATTTTGTCTCTGTAATGCACTTAAGAGTTGCTGTTTTACAGAAGCAAAAACAGGCTGAGAAAGATTGGGAAATCACTGCATAAGCGGCAGGACAGTTTTTTGAACTCAGGTCTGTCTTGTGGTTTCTGTGTAGATTTGTGGAGTATGCTCACCACCCCTCAAAACCCCCAAGTCCCTTCAATGCTGCATTCCTAACAGACTTGTTTAAAGTTATCTCAAAAGTCACTTGTCAGTAAACTCAGCCTGAGGCTGTGGCAAACATCAGCCCTCAACAGAGGAGAGAGACTTGAAATTTCAGGAAATAATGGAAAAATTAGTAACTTGAGAGCACTGAGACATATGGAAAGGGAAGGAGATTAAAAGAAAAAATTTTCATTTTATTACTGGAAACTTGAAGAGATGAAAATATGACCTTTTTCTGCTTCCAAACAGAGACAAAAGTGTTTCATATTCCTACAAGCTATATTAGCCCAAGTGCCTCCAAATGTGCACAGCCTCCTGGGAGTTCAAAGTTTCTATCTCTTTTTTTGTTCTTTGGCATGCTTTTACAGTAGAGGAGTATCCATGTGGTTTTGATATGGGCCAGGCTCTGGCAAAACAAAGCTGTAACCCAACCAGTTTGTCAAATCATATCTGCCCCCAACTCAGAGAGGTCCTTTCCCACCTAACTGCTAGGTCCTTCCAGGATATCTGGCGGACACTAAAGAGAATCTTAAGACCAGAGACCCCAGAGCTTGGGCCCCATCCCCAGGGAGAGGAGACTACAGAATGCTGAAAAGTGTCTTCCACCAGCTCTTACTTCCCAGAGCCTTCATTTCCATATCTGTGAAATGGGGAGATTCTTGCCTACTCCATGGGGATTTGTGGGGAGCAAAAACATTTTACAGTGTTTTAAGTACGTATGTTTTTTAACTAGTATTAACTACCATTAACTAGGCACTTGATTAATGAAGCTACCCATATGATTGCCATTCTCTATATAATAAAGCTAGAAAGGTCTTCTAGCAAGGGTGGACATCAGAGTATGTGAGGGGTGAAGGCACCCTTTCCTTTCACTGACATGAAAGTGCAGCCATAGCACATCATCTCATGTCTGTGGGATGCAGGCAGTGCTGTCACACTGGAAGGAGCTATACTGCAGCCCTCTGTGTGTATGTGTGTGTGTGTTTGCATGACCATACAGCAGGCCAAGGAGAAGCCTTCTTCTTTAACAGGAGAAACCTGGACCACTTCAGTGGCTATGAGCCAGACCAATGCCCAGGCAGCCCACGGCGCATCCTCAGCTCCTTTACAGAACTCACTTGTTGTGTCGTGTGCCCTGCTAAGGTGCCAAGGAGACAAAGAAGGTCTAAACCCAGCCCATGCCCCATTCAGCAAGCTGGCCACCTGGCTGGAGGAGGGAAGCACTTCTTTTGGAGTTGCATAAAGGTGTGCAGGAGCCAGTGATGGCCATGTGCATCTTTAGGCATTCATAAGACTAACTTTGAAGTCCTTCCTTCTTCCCTCCCTCTCTTCTGTCCTTCCTTCCACCAATCCTCTCAAGCCTTCCCTATTTGCTAGCTCACTATGTCACAGTCCCTCCCTCAGAGAGCCTTGAGTCTGCTGTGAGGCCAGACATGTAGGTGAATAATACTAGAGAGACACCAGAACAGGACACCATGGCTAGAAAGGTACTCCTGAAGAGAGGGAGGAGTATTTGCCCAAAGACATAAGAAACTGGCCCCAGATCATACAACTCATTGCCATTGGGCAGGGCCCAAAGGAGGAAACTTCTTGTAATTATAAGGACCTCTAGCCACGTGAAAAGATGCATTAGAAAAGTGGGGCAAGAGGAAAGGAAATGCAGGAGGCAGAGCAAGGGAACTTAAGGAATATTAGCAAAGGGTGAATGGAAGTGAGAGAATGAAGGGGAGTCCAGCTGGGATGAAGAAGCTTGTGTGTGTGTGTGTGTGTGCAATGCAGTTGGGTGCACTCTGCAAGACACTGAAATAGTCACTTTTCAGACATTGTCTCATTGAATCCTTGTGGTGATATTATAAGTTTGTCTCTATTAATCCCATTTTTCAAATAAGGAACCTAAATTCAGAGAGATGAAGCCCAGGAAGCCCCAGCTGATAGATAACAGAGCCCACCCGGTCTGCAGCGCACCACAGGAGAGGAGAGCTGTTTACTGATGCTGACTCAGTCCTTCCAATGGCTCTCTTCTCCTTCCTCCTGTGGCTGCTTGAAGGAAGCAGCCCAGGGATCCAGAGGCCCTGGCCTCACCAACACAGCAAGGGTCTCAAGTGCCATAAAGTGGGTGAGGTTAAGGTCACTGGCATAGAGCCAAAGCTGCCATCAGCAGTGTCCACAAGTGTTTGGGTAGCTGCCTGTCCCTCTCAGCCCAGGTACAGGGGCTTCCCTGTTATGTTAATAAACAAATCTAATCATGGAAATGAACTGCCCCAGTGGATGAGCATAGCACTCAGCCTCAAGTTCCTGGAGATTGTCAGAAAATACAGTTAAAATAGAGATGGACCTCCCATGCTTCAGTAAGATAAGTGGGGATGAGGGTAGGGACTAAGGAGAAGCTAAGAAAGAAAATCATATCTTATTATTAAATGCATCTCCCTCTTAAGCAATACCTCTTCTGCCAGAGAGGGTCCAGGAAGAATCCAGAAGAATATTAAATGGAAACTGGGTATCAGCCCATTTCCCTATTACCATTTTACTAAGTTTCTGGTTGGGAGTCATGGCAGGCATAGGAGATGGAGACATGTGGCATATAGGAAACTAGAGAGCAGATCCAGAGTCACATCTGGTTCTAGGCTCCATCACCAATGAATAATTTGACTTTTGACATTGTACTCACTGAGCCTTAAAAAAATGGAGCACTAGAACGGGACCACAGCAACCTTACAGGGTGGCTTCAGAGCCTAGGAGAGAGAATAAATATACAGGAATTTGAGAAGGTAAAAATCTTCTACCCAGCTTGTCATAATGAACTTGTATTTTGAATAATGAAACATCAAACAGAAAATACTGGTAAGGTTGCTCAAGAGGATGAGAAGACTTACTTTTGCTTTCATCCATCTCTTCAAAACGTATTGAGCATCTGTGTGTTCCAGGTCACATATATAAACATAACATGGTTTTTGTCTCAGAAAGCATCTTTTATCTGCCCTGAGAGGAGGAGCTCTGGCTTTTTATTTCTATTATTTCCCCAAACATAACAATAGGTTAACACATAACAGAGAAGATGTTCAATAAATACGTGTTGACTAAATGAATGAACTACCAATTTTATAGGGTTCAAGAGAGGCAAACAGACGTTTTCAATAGAGTGATAGAGCTAAGAAAGAACTGAAGGCCCGGGAAGGGAGGAGGAGCGAGCATTAGGTAAGGCTCTCTGAAAGGTGTGCTGTGAGGGCAGCGGTCGTCTCTGGACAAACGATGAGAAAAACGGGTCACGCAGGTCTGGCGAACCTGAGAAAGCCCCGGAACCCTGGCATTCATCAGGAAGCAGGCCCCAAGGACAGGGAAGTCACGGGGAACCAGAGAGAGACAAGCAAGGAGGAAGGGAAGCGGGAGAGGAATTCAAGATTTGGTTCAAGCCGTAAGAATGGGCTGAGCTAGGGCCCCGAAACTATAAAGTGGTGAGCTCGGGAGGGCTCGGCTGGGGAGGAAGGGAGATCAAGTTCAGAAGGAAGGGCGAATGAGACTTAACTGAACGGAGGGCAGGCACTGGGTGGAGGGTGAGTAAGCGCATGCGCGCGGGGTTGTCTGTTGGGGATGAGAGGGGGGTGCGTGCGCGCGCGCAGTAGGTTAGTGTGCGCGCGCGCAGCTGAAACTCGCTCTGATTAAACTGACAAAGGCGAGGGTGAGGGGCGGCGCCGCGGCCCCCCAGCTGGCGCCGCTTGCCGGTGGCGCGCGTGGCGAGAGGAGGGACCTGGAGCGCCTCGCAGAACCGTACTCAAGCAAAAACAAAGCCATCTCTTTGCAACAAAAATGAAACAGACGTGCCCACGGAAAGCTAAATATTTGTGATGATGTGAACAAAGGGGGAGAAATCAATCCAGGGAAGTTTGAGTTTCTGCTCGGACTGTTCAGCTTCTCTGATCTCTGGGTACTTTATGAGAACGTCCTTTGCCCGTGCTCTCCCTCTCTCCCCGAAGGAAAATAAATCCTTGGCCAAATGAGACTTGATGGCATAAAAGAAGAACGTCTTGAGACTGCTCTGGCTGGCCCTGGCGGGGCCGGGTCAGAGGTGCCACGTGGGGAACACTGGCACCGTCCTGTCACCCCCGGCACGCCCAACGGCGTCCATGGGGCAGAGAACGTGGCCCTCTCAGCGCTGTGACAGGCGCAGCGTTAGGGAAACCTTTGTTTTTCTCTCTAGCCCTTCCTGCCAGGGATATAACTCCGTGGTACTGCTTGCTGCCTTATAAAATTGCTTCTTGTACCCCCCACCCCTGATTGTCAGCGATGCAGCTTCTCTGCCCTACACCCCCACCCACTGTGAGTCACCTTCCCCTCCCTTGTCTAAACCACGCATCACTCAGCAGCGCCCTATTGCATTTACCCATAAATGCAAGGGCGAGGAGCTACCAATACCTGTTTGAGGAGATGGCATTTTAATTAGCACACTCCAGCTGCCTGAACCCAGCTCCTTCTCCACCTCTCCTCCCCCTTCCTGTGCCCTCTCCCAACCTCCCTCCTCACCCCCAGCTATGTAAAAAAGCCATAAAGCCTTTCTCCAATCGCCTTCTCGGAGTTTATGCAACCCTCAGAACACAAGTTGATTGGAAAGGTCTCTCTCCTGGATAACAACAATTCAATGTGCCTTGACATTTTAATAACCTGCCTTCCTGGTGAACACAATCGAGCAAGGCGGTGAAGCAAAAATCATTAGGTAAGCAAGATAATCTAAGTGGAATCTGCCGGCTGTGCTTTCACATCTGGGGTAGGTTGCACAGCTGGGCGGTCCCCAAAGCTCGGCTCATCCTGCCCTGCAGCGCCTTTGTATGTGTGCACCAATATATACACTTGTGCAGCTAGAGACATCTCTGGGAGATAAACACACTCAAGCAAACAGAGACTCATTGAAACCCCAGCATGAAAGTATATGAATTTACAACGAATCAAAACACCTGCCACCCCACCAAACTACCACCAAACTAAACTTACTGCTCTGAGTTCAGGCTTGCTGTGTCATTGAAAATGAGGCAAATACTGGCTGGGATTCCTAATGCTAACCATTTAAAGGCTTCTGTATTTCATGCGTATATATGTATTCATTTCCATAAAGACTTTGAATATAATGCCATGGCTAAACATAAAATTAAAACAATACAAAACATTTATGCTTATTGTATGCAAGGTACTATTATAAATGTTTTATGTGTACTACTTCATTCAGCCCTTGAAACACGGGTAGAATGATTATCCCCACTTCACAGATGAAGTAACTGAAGCACAAAGGGTTGAATCAAAACTTGTCCGAAGTCATCCTCTAGTAAGTGGTTGGAGCCAAGATTTGAATCCAAGCAATCTGGCTGTAGGGTCTAGGCTGTCATCCACTGTGCTATAATGTCTCATAGAAAGTAAATCACACAAATACATATAAAATGTGTTATAGGTCTTTATAAGGTCAGTGCATTCCTTCATAAATGTGTACATTTACACAAACACAGAACACAAATGTTTGTGTGGATACACAAAAGTGCAAAGCAATGTGACTTGAATTCTTTTCAACAAAAACACCTGCGTTTATATACTCAGCCATATTCACATATTGTGCATCTTGTTAGTCCCGAGATTGTGTTAGTACTGAGGATATAACAATTAATTTGACACAACTGCCACCATCATGTAGCTTACAGCTTATGAGGACAGCAAACCAGCAAACAGATGCTTGACCTTGCACGGGACAGGTTAGAGACTTACACAAAGTTGCAGAGGCTGAGGTTACTCGCTGCCACCAGCATTCCACATCCACCTCCCATTGTCTTCCTGGGGAGCCACGCACTGATTTCCATGAGGTTGCTATCACTCCAGACAGGTGGAGAGCCCCATTTGGGAATGCCTTCAAGACCTTTTCATAAGCTGCCTGAGAAAATGAGTTTTGTTACTTGATAATTACAACAAGGCACACACTCACACCCCTTTCTTAGGAAGAAGGTAGGAATGACATCACAGAACCCAGGGGTCCAACAGATGACAGAAAATTGTTCTGTTGGATTCAACCCTCCCAGTCCATGCTCCTGTCTCTCTCCGTACACAGAGGTCCCGGTGTGGATCTGTTTCCTACCTCTAGTAAGTGGTTGGAGCCAAGATTTGAATCCAAGCAATCTGGCTGTAGGGTCTAGGCTGTCATCCACTGTGCTATAATGTCTCATAGAAAGTAAATCACACAAATACATATAAAATGTGTTATAGGTCTTTATAAGGTCAGTGCATTCCTTCATAAATGTGTACATTTACACAAACACAGAACACAAATGTTTGTGTGGATACACAAAAGTGCAAAGCAATGTGACTTGAATTCTTTTCAACAAAAACACCTGCGTTTATATACTCAGCCATATTCACATATTGTGCATCTTGTTAGTCCCGAGATTGTGTTAGTACTGAGGATATAACAATTAATTTGACACAACTGCCACCATCATGTAGCTTACAGCTTATGAGGACAGCAAACCAGCAAACAGATGCTTGACCTTGCACGGGACAGGTTAGAGACTTACACAAAGTTGCAGAGGCTGAGGTTACTCGCTGCCACCAGCATTCCACATCCACCTCCCATTGTCTTCCTGGGGAGCCACGCACTGATTTCCATGAGGTTGCTATCACTCCAGACAGGTGGAGAGCCCCATTTGGGAATGCCTTCAAGACCTTTTCATAAGCTGCCTGAGAAAATGAGTTTTGTTACTTGATAATTACAACAAGGCACACACTCACACCCCTTTCTTAGGAAGAAGGTAGGAATGACATCACAGAACCCAGGGGTCCAACAGATGACAGAAAATTGTTCTGTTGGATTCAACCCTCCCAGTCCATGCTCCTGTCTCTCTCCGTACACAGAGGTCCCGGTGTGGATCTGTTTCCTTGGGCGGTGACTTGGCGAGCTACTCACTTTATGAGTATGACCCTCAGAGGGGAGGGCCCCTCTCAGCAGCCCCGGAACTATGTTATCACCATTATTAAGGAGCTTAAAGAGGAGCTGGGAGGAGAGACACCACTGAAATTGCAGCCTGATTGTGATTGATGTGTTCCTATTAGCGTCTCAGTGTTATCTCTCTGGATGGCAAGAACAGCCAGTGGCTTGTAACACAACAGATTACCTGAGTTCTCAGCCTGAGAAGGATGTTTAAATAAAATATAGTCCCTCTTAGCAAGAGGCTCATTTTCTCCACGAGGCTCGCAGACTATTTCATGTCAGCTCTGATTCGCTGCGGCTCTTCTCAGTAAACATGTCTCATCATTAATAATTCTTTACAAGCACCATCTCCAAGAGTCCTCTCTCTCTCTTTCTCTAGGTGGCTGGACTCAGACACTTCACGCTCCAGTTTGGGTTCCAAGGTGCTTCTCTCTGGATTTCCACCTGCCTTGCCAAAAATGATTGATTACACTGGGCCAACTGGGTGTCCGGCAATACCCAACAAATGACTTTGGCCCCTAACAGCAGGCCTTGGCCAGATAGAAATCAATATTTCACCATTAAAATCTATCAAAGAAGAGTTAAGGCACCATCTGTCCCCGCCGCCTCTCTATGGTGTGTGAACATTAAATCCGACACTTGTACTACATGGGTAATCAATATATAGTGGTTCACAGATCATTTGTGGTTCCCTTTTAGCAGTGATGGATGTCTGGAATCGTTGTGATTCATTTTGTCAGACCATTAAACAAGATTCTGTCCAGTTCCTTCCTGATTTCATTTAGAGGATCATTCTTCACAGTTCATAAGAGGAAAACGGTTTTACCAATCTGCTTCTATTTCAATAAGTCACTTTATAGAGATTTTGTGTCCTCCAGACTGTAAAAATTCTGGAGAGATAGTACAAACAGACCTCTAAAACTATTCACTGCATGACATATGCATAAAGTGTGAAGAGAGGAATGTAAATATGTTTACCTCTTTATCTGCAAATGTTGGTTTTAACCCCCTCCTGGCTGGAGTGCTGGAATAGTGCCTGCCACTGCAGAACATGGGCCATGCTGGTGACCAGGGGTTCATTCAAAGAGAGAGGGGGAATACCCTGAACACCCAGTGGCATGGCTGAAAGGAAATGAGGAATGACTTTTCCAGAGGTTTCATTTCAGAGACTTTCATTTCTACATTAAAGATGATCTTGCCACTCACCCAAATGATTGGCAGTTGCCTCTCTGTACTCCCGCACAGCATGCCAGCCCAAGAGAAGAGACACTGACTGTGCCCTTGAGGGCAGGATGTGAATGATCACAAGGACCCATGTGACAATAACAGTTAACATTTGTGGGGCGCCAGCCTGTCCCAGCACAGCACATGCATAAATTTCAACAATTTTACAGTAAGGAAACTGAGGCTCAGAGTTGAATAACCTGCCTAAGATTCTGGGAATGTGAGTGTCAGGACCCAGACCTGAGCCTGCCTGACACCAGAATCCACATGACTGTGATCTGCTTACTTCGTGGATGATTTTGTTTCAAACCAAGTGA